ATACACCAATGTTATGATAGCAATTTAGTATTCCCACTCACTGTCAAACTTTGACACACGCATATATATATATATATATATACGATTGTACAGCTATGAAAATGAAGTCGTCGCAAAAAGAATTTTCTTTGCTGAATTCTTTGTTTTTGTAGGTCTCAATGGGGATTATTAATTAAACTTAGTTTTCGTTTGACCTGAGGACACCTATTTTTGAAGGTATATGCTCTTGTTTTAAAAATATTCTAGTCACGTATAAGTATTTTTTTTCCAAATTCATTACTATTGTTTCCATTCGCTTTGCCAATTTGTAGAGAGATTAAGCATATTTTTTTTCTCATTGAGACAACTTTAAGAGTTTCTTAAGTTGTTATTTTATTTCACTTTGTATACAAATGAGAAAAAAGATTAGGTATCGTGAAATGAAATGACCAAGAATAAAAATCTAAGTGATTACAGAAACTACTTCCTCAAAAAATAATAATTAACTTTTATTTTTACGAGTTGATCACGGATTGATATCAGTTAGAGAACCATTGAAAACCAGGGAGTACTACCAGACAGCTGTTTCAACCTAGTTTGGGAGTTATCGGCAGTACACACCCACTGGGGTTGGAACCCAGGACTTTCCCGTTACAAGGTAAGCTCGTATACCATTCAGCCACCGGAACCAGATTCAATTGCTCATGAATTCTAACTTCTACCAATTCGTGATTTTAGCGTGACCCCAACCAATGTCGTTGGTGGGACATCCATCCTCACACGTGACTAGGCGGACTCACTGGTCACGACTTCTCACTAGAACTCCAGAAAACTCCGTCATGTAGCAAGTCACTAGCGAGTATCAGATTAATTTTCTATAGTTGGTTTGTAAGGATTAGTTTTGTTTTTACGAGTTAGGGTTGCGCTAAGTCACGAATTGGTAGAAGTTAGAATTCATGAGCAATTGAATCTGGTTCCAGTGGCTGAATGGTATACGAGCTTACCTTGTAACGGGAAAGTCCTCGGTTCCAACCCCAGTGGGTGTGTACTGCCGATAACTCCCAAACTAGGATGAAACAGCTGTCTGGTAGTACTCCCTGGTTTTCAATGGTTCTCTAACTGATATCAATCCGTGATCAACTCGTAAAAATAAAAGTAATCCTTACAAATCAACTATAGAAAATTAACTTTTAGATTTATCCAAGTATTACTGAAATAATATGTAGGCGGTATATTTTGTGAACGAGTTATTCATTGACTGTAAACATTTGTAAATAACAAAAGCAAAAACAAATAAAATAAAATTATATCAGACTTTGCTGATCACAAAAAAACATTGATGTAAACTTGACAACAACAAAAAAATACAGTTGGTTGTTGTAAATATAATTCGAAATCGGCAAACAATTAGTAACTGCTTGTTATTATAAGAGTTTTTGTATTCTCCAATGAATGAAAAAAACGATGTTGTTTTTATTGACATGCATTTCGGCGGCTTGCTTGATTCACTGGGCTGCCGAAATTTACTTTCCACCAAAAATGCTTAGTTTCATCTAGATTTATCATTGTTTTAATCGTTCAGTTATATCAAATTAACTATACATGAACTTGCGCACTGATTTAACTTGCTTCCAAGTAAACGTTGTGCAATTCTTCAATGAAATGAGGATATGTTTAAGACTATTACTTTACATACAAATCCTGCATGAAGAAAAAGGTATTTTGGAACTAAATACACTGAAAATTTCGTACCATATGTTCGCATATTGTCTGAAATGAAGCATTATAATTAATTTGTGCTGTCCATAGCCTTATCAAAGTATTATTAAACCAGAATTTACAAAATCTCAGCCTATATTCAACAACTTAGTGGTCTTTCTTCAGAATGAGGGGATTTTTAAGTTGTTGTCAAGTCGGTTAGTTGGTAAAGATAACAAAGTCATGTGTAGATTGTTGAATTTGATAAGTACATAGATTATAAATACAGCACGTGTTTATATAATGAAACTGCTTATCACATTTGTGTTGATTTTATTTTATTTATTTTTTTTATGGGTGTACTGAAGTCAAGTTAAATTCTGCCTTAATCTATCATTCCTATTCAGAAATTTGGGATTCCATTTAATATGAAGTGCTACTGATATTTTGGAAAGGTTTAAGTCATCCTTCCAGTACCTTTCCTTTCTTCCAAAACTTCAGAAATATTAGCGTGGGCGTGTCAGTCGAGGATTTTGCGCTTGATTTCAATGTTTCTGGTGGGTTCCTACATTGTCTTGCTGCCTTCACAGTTTTCAGTAGCTTTATGGTATTCAAGACTTCCACTTTTATCGGAGGATCAGTGTTTACTGGCAGTTTTGTGGTTTTTTGTTGGTATTTCTGTATGAGTTGTAGGTGGTCTTTTTTCAAGAGTCCTTTGAAGTAATTTGCTCAGAGTTTCCTTTGTTTCATGTCTTTAGTACCTGGGTTTCCTTCACTGTCTTTTACTGGCTTCATCGAAGTTTACCTCCTGAAATATACAAGATCGGAACTAAATGTTCTACTCGAAAATTCATGATACACTAAGTAAGTACTTATTTTATTAGAAAACCTAATGTCACAATAGTTAACATTCAGCTATTCATAGCCTAAAAGTAATAGAACAAACACAACCTGCAAAATTTATCGTAATGACAACCAGCAGTACTCTGATGGTGAATCTACTACACAAGGGATTGATAAGTTTAAACTAGCAGACAGATGACACAAATCACCATCACTGATTTCAAAGCACACGGGCACGCACAAATACAATTTCTGTTAGGGTAACTAGATAATCCTGTAACTTGCAGGTTTTAAAGGATTCCAGAGTGTCCGCCTCATGACCTGCCTGAGACCCGATTTGTATTCAGAAACAAACAGTTATCAGTTTTTTCTTACCTTTTTCTTACTCTTTACTCTCTCTTTCGTTTGATGATGTAATCTTTGGCATTAATCTTTCCCCCTTTTGATATAGTGTGAATTTGCTTGTCTCTTGTTTCTATGATTTGAGTCGAACTCACCACATTGTTACTCAATCTATTATTAATAATTAACTTATTCCCCTCTTTATCACATAACCGTTTTGCAACTGTATCCAAGCCTTTAATTTTTTAAAAACTTAAACTTGCTGTGTATAAACTAAATTAGTGTAATTTCTGACCACTGCTTATTAAGTATGAAGTCTCCTATCAGTTAACATTATGCAGCATTTGCAAGTACTTTAAAATTATTCCGTACATAAACTTAATAATTTCTTTAAGTTGTACTCAGCTGATAGGAAGTCAACGAATTAAATGATGGTAATATCTTATTCTACACAAACTGTTGTTCTTGCTTTATCCTCATTCAACAAGGGGAATAGGTATATGGAGAAAAGTTATCTTAGAAATATACTTAATTCATTTGTTCTTTTCCATAGACCTAGCAAGGAAGCTTTAACTGACATTTCGTAGTTTATTTTCTTATCCGTAGGTTATTAGGTAGTTACCTGAGTTCTAGTGGGAATTCGTGACCGGTGGGGCACAGCAGGTCGGATGTGAGGACAAATACTCACCGATGACACTGGCTAGTGGTCGTGGCATTTCGTTTGCTATCCAAACGAATCAGCGAACACTTACCTTCATGGTTTTATAAAGGAGAAAGAAGATCCCCCCGTCACAGCTCTATCCTGGAACACTTGATAGAAGCCGGATACCAAGCAAACCCAAAAAACAACTTCTCAGTTATCTACATAATACGTGGGAATCTTGCCAAAAGAGTACGAATTAAACTTCTTCAAACTGCAGAAGCAATGGTAATTCACATATTGAATCCTGAACTCTGCATACAAAAGAAGTTTGTTCAGTCACTAAATTTACAATGGTCCTGATCTACCTTAACACCAAATACGTAATTTTGTCCTACCTCTTTCTTCTTTGTTTGTCTGTTTCTTAATTGCATTATTTTCTACCCCCACCCTCTATTAAATCTCTGCCCTCATGGCGACTGTTGCTAACTCCATTTTCGTGAATTCTACTCAACTTATTAACTTAACTCTCATTCATTTTTCATTGAACCCTATCAATTAGATTACGTCACCCAACCTACTTTTGTAACTTTATTTTAGTTTCTAACCGATTAACGCCTTCTAAATTACGTCATTTGTTGTCAAAAAAAATTAACAATTGCATTAACACATCTTTGGAAATATTCCTTTTGTTGCCAAGAAAAATCACTATAAATTTGCGGTTTGTACAGCTTGAGAATGATATCACCGAAAAGAGTAACTCTTTGCTGAACGCCTTTTCTTTTCTATGAGTGAATGGGAATTTTCAAATTTCGTGAATTGGCAGAAGTTGGAATTCATGGACTGGCCATTGGATTGGATACCAGTGGCTTAATCGTCTACGAACTCGTTTTGCAACCGGAAGGTCCTGGGTTCGAACCCCGCTGGCTGCTTACTGATAAAGAATCCCAAAATGGGAGGAAGCAGCTGTCTAGTACTTCCTGATTGGTTTTCCAATGGTTCTCTAATCGATGTCAGTTCATGATGAAGTCCTGAAACCAATCGAATTACTGCAAACCAATAGAAATTTTGTTTCATATTTCGACTATCATTCTTGTTTATGATTTATTATAATAATTTTTTTTCGACAGAGTTATGATTTAATGAAATTTGAAATTCATCAATGAATTATTATTTCATTGTCATAGGTTGATGGAAAATAAGTAGCTATCTGAATTGTAATTTGCTGATTGGTTCGTTAATGAAATCAGTACATATTGATTAATAAATCGGGACAATTAGAATCACTGGAATATGAATACATATGAGACAGCTATTCACAGAATGGTCAAATACACGTATGAAATTTAGACTTTATTACGAACAGGAAGAAATTATTATTATTTTTTTTGAAGACTATATTGTCTTAACATATTAAATTTTGAATGATAGTAATTATTCAAGAATAATATTTATTTATTGTTACCATTTTTACTGTTATCAAACTTTTACTAAAAGAATGAAGTGGATAACTAAAATTGCTTATGGCACTGGCCAAATGCTTAAAGATCTTGTCGCTGGAGTTATCAGTATATTCTACATTGTATTTTATGAAGGGTGTATTAGTTTAAGCAGCTCACAGGTTGGCGCCCTATTACTAGCTGGTCAGATTGCTAATGGTTTAGCCACACCATTAATCGGTTTTCTATCAGATTATCGTGTCAGTTCAAATAAGCTGCTCTCCAACAACAGTAATGATCAAGTGAATACATCTAATAATGAAAAGGCAATAAAAGATAAAAGATTTCTCAGTCGAATGAAACGTCAGTTAAGACTTGGAAGAAGAAAATCATGGCATCTCGGTGGATGTGTTTTAATGCTTATTGCATTTCCACTCATGTTTGGCCAGCCTGTCAGTCTGATTTACCTTCCTGTATGGGCAAAGCTTGCAGTCAATGGGATCTTTCTTATTTGTGTTCAAGTAAGTCATATATCATTAATTATTTTAGTTATTGTGTGAAACAACCATGTACCATATTTTAAGTATATGACTCAGTTCATTAGTGAAGTTGATTTTAGCAAATTATATACATATATTCATTACAACAGTGGGATTACAAATGAGACAGCTTGTTTTTAAAAGTCAGTAAAGTTGACTTTATTGTTAATTCTAGGAATATTCATATAAAATCATTGAACTTATCCATAAAACCTTGTGAAATAGGAACGAAACAACTACACTGACAGTTCTTAAGGAATTTTACGCATTCGAATTACACTAGTCATCCTCAATCTTGTCAAGTAAAGCTGATGAGTGTAATTTCATTTTTATGGAATCATGTGGCAGTCATAGAGAGTTGTTTTTATACAAACATTTCTGCAAATTCATACTGTCTAGTCTAACTGTTACATATAATTGAAATAGTTTAATCGTTTATGTCTAATGAAAAGCTGTATTATCTGTTTTAATTGGAAGTGCGACTGATGGTGTTTTAAAAATAATAACAAAGATGTTACACAACACTTTTGGTTTACAATACCGAATACCTGTTCAGTCATTTTACAAACATGTGAAAAAAAGCGTGACTGTAGATTTTAAACTGTTATCCATATGATTTAAGTCAAATAAATACACCATGACTAATAAGTTTCAATTCGCCCCTTGCATTTGTGCAAAATAAGGTGATAATGAAAGAATCAAACAAACAAGCCTTCTTAATAGTCTAACTATTAATTCTAATATTGTGTGTGTGTGTGTTGAGGAGGAATATTTCTGTCTAACACCTTACAGATTTTTAGGTGAAGTATCATACAGTATCATACAGCGTCGGTGGCATAGTGGTTAGGACGCTCGCCGACCATGCATATGGTCCGGCGTTCCATCCTCGGCCGGCACACTCCTTTACCTTGCTAAGCCAGAAATAATGCTAGTGAATAGAAAGGGTTGGCCATGAGGCTAGCAACCCCATCCCGTAAAATAAACACTACTACAGAAACTTCAAGCCACTAGCTTGAAGCCCTATATTCCACTGGGGAACGTGAAGGAAAAAAAATCATACAGTGATGCAGATTTGAACCTCACATTTATCTTCAACTTACATTCCTCTTTTAATGTATTTGTTATATTTGTTGCTTCGTCAATTTCCGCTTAACATGCTACTATGAAGAATGACAACCTGATTTATTTATCATTCTTTTATAACCAAATTAAGAAATCTAGTGTTCACTTATGCAGTTAGGGATGTAATACAGGTGAACTTTTCAGAGTTCTTACCATCTGTAATCCCAGTGGTATTTCAGTAAATGATAGGTTTGGACAATAAATTCCACAGAGTAGCAGTCAGTAGATTCTTTATTCATCACAATACAGCGTTTTTTCATACTCAGGACTGTTGTAATTTGTGTAATTTGACTGGAATGAGCCTCCAGTCATGATGGTGCGGCCAGCTAATCCCTTAGAAAGCAAACCCAACGCTGAGATAGACACAGAAGTCAGGTTTAACTTAGACGACTGCTACAATAACTTTATTATACACAATACAGTGTAAATTCCTCTTCACCCACCAACAGAAATTTAAATCACAGATAACCAATATCTGATTGATTGCATCAATCATTACTTTACGGTTAACAGCGATATGCTGTCCCTCCCTAACAAGGACTTTAAAATGTAACCAATAGGTTCTGTAAAAACCATAAAGACTGACAATTACAAGTAAACACCCTAGCTGAATGAACAGTAATTGTTCTCAAATGTTGGTTTGCGCAAATTTGATTGGTAACAGGCTTGAACACGAATTGGCATCAGCTAGAGAACCATTCTAAAACCTGGAAGCACTTTACCTGGGCAGTGTGCAGCCACCGGGGTTCGAACCCAGAGCCTTCCGGTCACAAGACAAGCACGTTGACCATTAAGCCACTGGGACCCGATCCAATGGCCACTCCATGAATTCCAACTTCTGCCAATTCGTGATATATTTAAATCGTTCATTCAGGTGTTTTAGATGGCTAATAAATTTTTATTTGGAATTTTAGTTATAATTCATTAATTATCCATTTGTTCCCCTAAATACCTAAGTATCTTGAGGTCAGCCTGTTTATAAACTATGTTTTTATTTTAATGTCAAGTCAGACTGATTGTAATTGGAAATATCAATCTGTTGAGAAATCTACTCTCCTATATCCTTTATTCAGGTTACTGATTATTCTTTATGTCAGATAACAGACTGACTATCTATTGAGGCATGTGATTTTGAAAATGATTTCATCATCATAAATGAATATTTAGGTTATTCGATGCATTCCACTCCTTTCAACATGATGACGCATATTGTAATAAAAAAAAGTCATCATTTTTCGTTTGTATTATTATATTAACTTTTTGTCTCATTTTATATTTTGAAAAAATATTTGTGTTAACACCTGTGGCTAATTTTTCACGTGATTTCTGGCAAATTTAATTAGAATGTCTGATTCACCTTTTGACTGATATTTCAACATATTTTAAAAATCAAGAATATTTACTGTTTAATATATGGGGTGGTTATATGGCATATCTCTTTTTCGAAGTGGTGCCATCTTTATCCAGCGGGCATTAGGGCGTTTCAATGAATATGCGTCGGTGGCATAGTGGTTAGGACGCTCGCCAACCATGCACATGGTCCGGGGTTCGATCCCCGGCCGACGCACTCCTTTAACTCGCTAAGCCAGAAATAATGCTAGTGAAGAGGAAAGGTTGGGCATGAAGCTAGCAACCCCATCCTGTAAAATTAAACACTGCTATAGAAACTTCAAGCCACTAGCTTGAAGCCCTGTGTCCCACTGGGGAACGTGAAGGAAAAAAGAAGTACTGGCATGATTTCATGAAAATTTACTAATATACATTAAGCTTTTGAACTTACTACCTCCTTTAATCCATTGCATAGCGCAGATATCAGTATTAATCAACATTATCTGATAAAAATGCAAGTAATGTAACGCAGTTCAAGCATATAATGCCGCCGATAATATGTACGCCAGAGAAAATTTAATGCAAAATTTCATTTAAAGAAAAGCATACAAAAAATATATCTTGTCATTAAATCACTATAGCAACGGACTACAACGCTACAGTTAGCGGGGATATGCAATAAAGCCAGTCCTTAATATTTATGTAGATTGAAGCTAGTCGCAAATAGACTAGAAACAACAGAATATAAGAAAGGTAGAGACATTTAGTGACAAAGTTTGTCATCTTCGTGTAGTGAATAGCGCGTCTTTAGCACACTATGCAGAATAATTTACTGAGTTTATCCACTGAGTGTTTGTAGACGTTCACTAATAAAAATTTTCTACTTAATACTGATTATTAAGTGAATACGACTGTTCTCAGATTTATTATTAATTTTTTCCGGCAGCACACTATGGTACTTTCTGTTTCAGAGATATTTGGGAGTCATATTAATTTGTACCGTCCTTTGTAATTACGCAAAATTACCTCTTTTAGGATGCTTGTGTAGGTTCAGAGTCATTCAACGCAGTCTAACACAAAATATCACACTATATGGATGCATCATTCAGTGCATTATTTATGGGAAAATCAGATTACCTTTGTCTAACAGACTTACCTACTGATACTTTTAAAAGCTTCGACGCTTCACTATTACCATACTGGTATAATAAATAATTCACAAGGTTGTATGTTCATTTTGCTAAAATTGTCAGATTTTCAAGTTTTAACTGATTATTCTTTAATTGGTGGATGGTGACTAGCAGTGGAATGCAGGATGCGCATTTCGTCCTATTTGGGACTCGTCTCTGGATGTACCTGCGCTTCTCAGTGAGTGATGATGTTCCCACCGAGGCTCGAACCCAGTGCTCATAGTTTCAGACGCCAAAGCGTTATCCACTAGACCAGTTGGGCCACGAGAGCCACCTCTTGTGCAACGGGTCATATTAATTTAATTGAATTTTAGATTTTCCCTTCGATTGATTGGACCGAAGTGCTAGTCACCATCCACCAATTAAATACTAATTAAATGCCCAGACATCGTCGAAGCATCTGCTCAAGAAGCCGATATGTCAACCTGGGACCAAGCACTTCGGTCCAATCAATCGACGGGAAAATCTAAAATGTAATTCAATTAAATGATTATTGTTCGAAATTTGGAATTTACATCAAGAAAACTATAGAATATGATATCAGCGCAGGGTGTGGGACTCTGTTAATATATGCAGATAAACTGAGTCTCTTTATCTTAATATTGATCAGCAGCATGATGGCAGAACAAAATAGTATTTGGTAGGAGAACTGTTTAGTTGTCATAATGACGTACGCTAAAGGCGAAAGTTCGATTTACAGAAGTTATTCATATTCTGCTTCCTTTATCTTCATTGCATGCTTTCTTTATTGTATCAAAATGATGTTCATTTCAACCTCTTTGCAATTTAATCCGTTATTCCGCTAATGAAAATTCTTGTAGAAGACGTCACCAACGTACTGTTCGCAAATTCTTGTCAGTATTATACACTACAGTAACAGTGATGTGATTTTCTGAGTTAAATTTCGGATAAATTTCACCTCATCAGCCCAGTCATACAATCAACAGAATACAACATTTAGAACTGCATCACTTCAATTATTTGGTTTATATGGTGGGAGAATTTTACTACCTTAAATTCTACTTCAGCATGGATATACCAGTTCACTTGCTCCTGTGGAGCTGAAGTAAACTGGCTGTAATGTGAGTCCGCTTGTAAAACGCGTTCAGGAACACTATCCAGCCTGGCTAGCAAAGGGTGAGCGCAAGTGTGTATTCAGTTCGGTAACCGGACATCTGGTGAACTCAGGATATCTTTCAAAGTCATATAGAATATCCGATCAAACCTGTCAAAGGGAGTGAAATCAAGGCATCTGGACATAGCTAAGGCACTAGAGATCCAAAAGTTCAAGCCCACGCCATGTATTTAAAAGAATTACATATAACTCTTGTCCCTACTATGGGCATCATAAAATGTCAGTTCTCTCAATAGTGATTATCTTATTACCACTCTTATCCAATCTTCCTGTTCA